TTTCAGAACAACGGCTAATGATGTTTTTCTCGATTCAGCCCATTCAGTTCAACAGCACATTGGGCGTGATGTTTCAATGAGAAAATGGCGCTGACCACTGTTCGAGTCTAACATCAGTACCCAAGAGTTTTAGTTAGCCTAGGCATGGTTCAAGCAAAAATTCATATCTGAAAAAAATAATTTAAACTGAACATGGAACAAGGCGCCAGCAGAAAAAATGAATAAAAGCAAAAATAAATGACAGAAGAACACCACCAGATCCCTTCTCAAAACACCCATGCCAAGTATTTTTCTCCATATGGGATTAGCAAACGCATTTCAGTTCATAAAAGGTAACGCGGACTCGATTTGACTTAAGCTAATACAATTGTTGCTTAATGTTGCAAAACCGTTGGTGACTTCATCATTACTGCATAATCCTATCCTTTTTTCTGGAGGGAAAATTTGTTCAGAATGAGATTAGTATGCATGAAATGATATGAAAAGAAAGACTGGTTTTATAAAATTTTTCTGAAAACTATTCTTGATGAAGAAGGTGACTTGAAAAACACTGTCTACGGTACTGGGCAAAAAAATAACAATTGTTTACACGCTTCAGAGGCGAGAAAGTTATACTGCGTACAGATTTTTTATCACTAGTAGATGCAATGCGATCCAATCGCCACAGTGGACGATTCTACGAAGATTATGAGGAACTGAAAGCATTAGCTCATATTTTCCCGCACGGTGTACAGTTCGAACATGTTTTCGGCCATGAAGGCGAATATGGCAATGAACAGGTAACATAAAATTGCCTCCAGTCATTAGCTCTTAAGCATACTAGTTTGGGAACCACCTGTCGCCAGCATCCCTGCAGTCAGAGGAAGAAGTACAGCTGAGGATGGACTGCGATAGAGACAGACCACAAGTAGGTGGCGCCGTGTCAAATACAATGCTTTTAAGCATATTTTCTGAATAATCTTGCTAAAGAGGCTCGAATACAGTTCGGTGAAAAGTAAATACAGTTCTTACAACTGTAAAGTTCAAGCTTTGTTAGTTCTT